ATATAAGTTAAAATGATATCCTTATTTTAATACTGAAAAATATACTTTGTTGGGATATCCTACTCTCTATATAGTTACCAATTCTAAACATAAATAAATACAGTGTTCAAACGAAAGTAAAATAAGGGCTTTTTATTCTTTGTTTTAAATTTACGATAAGATTTTAGAAAATCTCAAACACATCGATTTTTAATTAAAATGGGTCAATGTTTGATGAATTCATACCTCCCTTAATTTAAGTAAAATTTTTAAAAAATATTAGAATGTTTGAGGGAGGACGGAAAAAACTATCTGGTACGCAATACAAAAGAAAGCGACTCGAAAAACAAGCCCATATTAAAAAACCAGCTATAAGTTTACTAAATACAAAAGATTACGATCTACCATCCGCTATGGAACTCTTAAGAAATTGCACAGATTTTTTTTAAAGATCTTCGATCGGATGAGGCTTTTACTGAAATGCTCTGTGATGCAAAAGAATTGGCCGACGAGATAGATATCCCTCCTAATTTTGAGGTCACGCAGCCACGTCACAGAGTTCGCCGCAAAAATGTTGATTTTGATTACGAAGCACGAGATGATCTGGTGGAAGATCCTAAATTAAAATTCAGGATAAAGTTTTATTTTTTTACAACTGACCAAGCAATTAATGCCTTGGAATGCAGATTTAATTTAATGAGTACCCATGGTAATTTTTTCAATTTTTATATAATATATATGATTTAAAGGATACCCCTAAACATTCAATAATTAAAAACTGTAAAAATTTTGAAATGATGTTGACAGATGGAGAATCAGTAGATATAAATGCGCTTGATCTAGCAGATGAAATAATATTAATTTCAGCATTAGTAGGCAAAAAAGGAAGCCCAATAGAAGTTTTAAAATTTATTTCAGTTTTAGAATTTGCGCCAAATCTTGCCATCACATTAAGAATTTTACTTTCTTTGCCAATACAGTGTAGCAAACGGAGAAAGGAGTTTCTCAATTAAAAATTTCTTACGGTCTACAATTCTGATAGATTAAATGGTTTATCTACATTGGCTATCGAACTTAAAATGGCTGAACAAATTGATTTAAAAGAATTAATCAGAAAGTTTTCAGAGTTAAGAAAAAAAAAACTTCCAATTTTTTGTTTATATTGTTTTTTGTTTTAATTTTTAATAAATATTTATACGTATACTGTTATGTTTCTTTTTCTTTGCAAGAACTATTCAAGTTTTATAGGTGTGCATTTATGAACAATTTATATATTTTTCATAATATTTTTTATGCGTTGTGGAGAGGGGCGGCATTTTTCACTTTTGTCCGGGGCGGCAAAACTGCTAGAGCCGGCCCTGCAGCAACACTCTCCCTCGATTATTTTTCTTAACACTGACATCATCTTCGTCATTTTGTCTAAAATAAAATGTTTGTTTTATCATATACTTACTTTTCTAGCTAAAATAAATTTGTCAAATTTTATTTTATTACACTTTGTTTTTATATATATAATTTTCATCATTCATTTTAAATTTATTGAATTTAGATCAGTTAATATTTGTTTCTTTTTAATACATACATTATGAATTTTAAGCAAAAATTAAGTATATATAATTTTTAATTAAAGGGAATGGGCTCGTAAAAAATGGAAAATTATATCTTTAATATTACATTTATTTTTGAAAATTGGGGTCTTGTGCAAAACTAAGTGAAAAAATGGATTTTATTTTTAGCTTTTTTATATACCCCGATTAAAAAAAACTGCCTAAATCGATTAAAATTATAGTATTTTATGTTTATGATTTTAAGCATAATTTTTATATGTTTTTCTCTCTCTCTTTGATTTGGGTTTTTAAGGATATTTATTTGAAGTTTTGGAAAATTCCATTCAGTGATTTAAATTTCTGAAATTTTTCGTTTTCATCATTTAAATCTTATAAAAAATTATAATTAACAGCGATGTTTTCTTTAACGAAATATATTCATTACATACAGGGTGATTCAAAAGTTATCGCTCAAATTTCGAGAGGAAATAGGAAATATGTCAGGAAACCGATTTCACTAAGGAAAGTACGTCCGCAAACGTTATTTACATGAACAAAATAGACAACTAAAGTGAACACAAGGAAACAGTACAGTTAAGTGGTAACGAATGCGACTTTTATTCCAACAAGGTAAAATACAGGTTGATAGTAAGTGTTTGAAATTGCAACCATATACACGAACACAAGATCCCTAGAACCGTTGCATTGACCCGCAAACATTTTTAAAAACGCCTGAAATATAACGGACAATACCTGTGATGGCCCCTATTGACGCAACAAAGTCCATTTCAATGTCAACGAAGGTCTCGAATACATAATCTTTCATATCCTTCCAGAAGAAGAAATCCAAAGGTAATAAATTCGGTGACCTGGGTGGGGCCAAGCAATTGGTCCACCTTTGCCGATCCATCGAGCTCCGAATGTTCGGTTCAGGTCATTTCGTACAAATATTGGGCTATGGGCTGGAAACCCCGTCATGTTGAAACCACAGAAATAGTTTTCTACAAATCTTCAAACCCCAAGGTTAAAGTATTCAATGTAACTTAATATAAATGTCGTTAAAAAGCTGATTTCTTAAATTTCATAGATATAGATAAAAAGAATCATGAACTTGAAAAATGCAATTTTTGAAAAAAGTGATAAAAATAAAAATAAATTACCGTAAAATCCGGCGTATAACGCGCACCTATACTTTCAAGCTGAATTTTTTAATTTTTAGGTATATTCGCCGTATAACGCGCACCCCTTCTTACGAAGAAACCGGATATATTTGTATACATTGCTTTTATGTTTTAATCATTTATTCGAGGTATTTTCCCAGACTTTTGAAAAAATAGTATACTTCTAGAACTACAACTTGAAGTAACAAATGTTGATGAATGAAGGAAGCAGATGAGTTAGGAGATATTATTACTCTTTCAACAAAAACTTCGTTGGGAGTAGTGTATTTAGTTCTATTTATCAGAGAAATAATCTATGTCTATATTTTTAAGTTCAAATTAGTAGTCTTTTATCTTGTTTTATCTGGCAATGAAAAAAAAATCTTATGATGGATTTAATTATTTGCATTAGAACTGTAGAATCAGCTAGAGAAATAAAAATATAATAACGGAGTGAGCGGAATAAAGATGTTCAATATTTTCACCTTCTGAAATGGATGTGAACTTATTACATTTTTAATATATTTTAATCATCGTGAAATAATTGACACAATAAACTCTTTTGGTTCGCAAGGATACATGTAGAAGTAATTTTTTTTTTATGCTTATCTCTCTTGTTATTTTTAAAGCTATCGTTTTTATACCCGGCGTATAACGCGCACCCTTAAGTTTCGATCTTATTTTTTTGTGTTCAAAGTGCGCGTTATACGCCGGATTTTACGGTATATATTTTATTGATGCTTTTGTTTACTAAAAAACTAAACCAGAACTGACAAGAAGTATCTGTGGGCTCAGTGAGGCAATAATTTTTTGTGAAGGTTCAATATATCACTCAATGATCCGTTTCCGACAAATTCACAAAGGTCATTGGGCCTATTTTTAGTTTTGATCAACGTCAATAGCACATATATATGAAAGGACTATGGTCTAGTTAAAATTTGATCAATGTGCTTAAGATCAGATTTATAATTATTATAATAAATGCCAGTAAGAATTTTTTGACTCGTAGACTTGCGCTAGAATTAGTTCAAAAACTTTAAAAGTCATCAAGATGTTTACTTCTTTAAAATTGTAATGACATAAGAGTGAGGGGCATAAACACCCACCTATTCACCATTTGAAGTTGTATGTTAAGCACTGCAATGGTGTTTAAGAGTTTTCTTTTCATGATTTAACCCCCAAAAAATGCTATAAAAATGTTGGCATATATAGAGAGTTTATTTTAATTAGATTAGAATAGAATGATTTGTTTGCTAAACTATGGAGGAGGGATATTGTAGACAGATTGTCGGTATGTGTATGAATTTTAACATTGTTATATGTACTTCCCAACAGACAGAGAATTCAATTTTTGATATCTCCGCAGCATGAAAAACAATATTATAGGCTTTAAATTTTAAAGTTAAATTATATATATGAAGGGCCCCCTGAAAGGGATAGAGAAGAACTACACTCAGTAGCGCACACAGGAATTTTTCGGGGGTCCGGGGTCGAAAAATTCACCATTCTTGTATCATGCTCCTTTTGATTTTGTCGATTTTGGGGGACAAAACACAGTAAAAAATTAATTATTGAATAAATAATTAGCATTAATTAATAAAATTAATAATTAATAACAAATACTTAATTAAATTTTACGTACTATATACTTAGAATTATAATCAATCGGAAAAAAAATCAAGGGCTTTGGGGGGGGATCCGGACCCCAGGACACCCCCTTGTGTGCGCCACTGACTACACTTGAAAATCAGTCTCAGAATGGATCCTGAATCCACTCTTGTACATTTACCACTCGGAGGACCCTTCAAAAAGAATATAAGAAATGACTGTAAATAAGATTGATATTATATATCAAAATATTGTGGTCGATATTGTTGAATTGAACGTATTCAAAATAAATATTATCACAATGTATGTGTGTGATTGCAAATCTGATATTTAAGATAAATGTTTTTGACAGTTAAGTGAATTGGAGGAATGCCTGTTAAGATATTAAGAACATCGGTAGGAGAAGTATGATATTTTTAAGTAATTTTTCAATCCCTACTATTAGTTCCCTTCTCTCTCTATACATATATTTATTTATATGTATACATAAATTTCTTGTTCAAATTTTCAATCGTTAATAAAAATACTTTCTATACATCTCTTCAAGTTAAAATACATTTTTTTAAACTTGTAGTAGATGATACTTGATGTTAATATACTGTTTTTTTTCAAATATTAATTCATTAATTAACTTTAAAAAATGAATAAATAGTAACAAAAATAACAGTCCAACAGTATATATCGAAAGGAAAATCACACTCGTTGTGTCTCGGTAGCTTAATGGATAACGCGGTGGACTTCAAATCCAAACGTCGTGGGTTCGAATCCCACCTGGGATGGCCTAATTACTGAGAATAGGATTACTTTTTTACTACACTAATTATTAAAATAATTAAATCTAATTAATGAATAAATAGTAACAAAAACAAAAATAGCCCAACATCATATATAGAAAGGAAAATGGAAAATTGCAAGGAAAATCGCTTTCTATCTTGTCACTTAATATTGTGATTCTTGTGTCATATGTATATACACATTTATATTAATTGTAACTATTTAATAAAAAGTAACTTAAAACAAAATATTTCTTTGTTGACCTAAGTAGGAATTGACTTTCAATTTTTTAAAAAAATATTATTTGTTAGCAAATAAATTCGCTGTACGCGGAGTTTAAGTTTAATTATTTGTTGAACTTAAGTTTGTCGTTTCTATTGAAAAATGAGTGTGAGTCAATAATTTAAAAATACTCTCTTTAATGTAATTAGTATTCGAGAACCACACTAATATTATATATATATATATATATATAGTAAATTATCAATTATTAAACCTTAACATTTCATATGTATAACAATTTTTACAGATTAGTTATTAATTTTAACAATTGAGTTTCTCCTGAAAGTGGAATTACCACGTGATCCACTACCATGATTCTGAGGGTACTTGAGGTCAAAATATTTTTTTCAATCGAAATTTCTAGCTGGAAACCAGGGGCGTAGCCAGGGCCGATCCTAGCAGGTGTGCAGGCGCGTGCACCGCACGCGGGCGGCCGCAGGCCACCTATAATTCTTTCGATCAAGCAAAATTTTTGTGAATTTTTCAAAATAAAATTTATAATAAGTTGAATAAATAGCTGAATTTTAAATAGTTATTGAAAAATCAAATTAAGTCCCGATTTCCTGATAGCATAACATAATTCGAGAAAACTAAGAATGGATTTCAAATTCTGAGGAACATTCCTTCTCATCAGGGGTTGTAGCCTGCCTTATCAGGAAGCCAATATCAATGTTACAGCGCCCCCCTAATTACAGGGGCCCCGGAAGTGTGTAAGCAAAAAGTCGTAAAATGTTATTAATGGTCATATTAAAAGTTCCTTTCCACGTTTATTAAATAGTACGTCACTGGCTTCAAACGATATAAATTTTCCGTTAGAATTCTGAATCTCGGGTCCTACTACAAAAAAGTTTAAAAGCTGGTAAAGTTACTCAAAATAATAAGAAAACAAAGAGTGGTATGTGGTCAGAAAGCAGGAAAAACTTCTCATTCAAAGCGGTTCGACAAAAAGATCGTTTGAAGTGAAATGCAGATAACACTTGGGATGGGAAAAATGCATTCAAAATGTTATTTGCTTGTAAATGAAAATACCTTCGTCTGCTGACTGTAATAAACGTCGCACTAAGAAGCTGCACGAAAGCTTGGCAGTTGGAATTTTTTTCAGAAGTGAAAGAGAATTTTAGATTTTATTTATCCCGGTTCTCTTTTATTTCTGTAACAAACAAAAGACCGAAAGTGAGCTCAGTCAGCAAGTGATCTGCTTCCCATTCCGAGAAAGATCTGGCCCATAAGCGTCAGAAGTCTTCTGTCACCCTCCAAGTCTATAGTTAATTATTTTTTAACGAGTATTCATGAGTTCTCAACGCTGGTCCCATGGGGGAAGGGGGAGGGGCGTTAAGGAAGAATTCGGACAAAAATGAAAAGCACGATCAAGATTTGACATGCTTAAGGACGAATGAAAAGAATGGGGCAGAATGACCCTCGAAAAAAAAGACCCCTTTTCGAAGAAAACTGAGGAAATTTTGCATCGATTTGACTTCTGAACCAATTTCTTTTAGACAAGACAAATCGGAACAACAAAAACGGTTAAACAACAAAAAAGATAACTATATTTTCACTTTCAAAATTTTCTTTTCATTTTTAAGATTTAATGCCCAGGTATTTTAATCATTGTGTAAGATAAAGTGAAAAAAAGTATTTTGATGCATTTGGGCTATAACTATTTTATTCATATAAATATAAATAACTGTCATGAGTTTCTTAAAATACTTTCATGTTGATTAACATATTTAAGTGTATGTTTTCGTTGCTTGAATGTACCGTATTCTTCTTAAAACATTTTCACAATTGGCATTTATTGTATTTATAATTAATCTGATTTATGACATTGTTAGTACTGTAAGTTCTTTCCTGGTCAGACCTCTTGAAACTAAAGCTAGTTCGTCGGTAAAAGCTTGTGTTATATGCATCTGTCATTATTTACATTTAGAATCGGATTAAAGTAGATGCTCCACAGGTTCGGCTGTGAACATCCTTTGGAAATTTGATTGCCAATATAAATATTTTGACTATATTAAAATTATTCACAGTGATAAGTAGTATAGGCAGTGGCGTAACGGAGAACATTTGGGCCCCCAAGTAAGATTTTACAAAGGGTAGGTACTTGACATTAGTCAGGCTTCGGGCCCCCCACGATACTGCGGTGTACGTAACGCCATTGAGTATAGGGATATGTATAAAATTTTGAAAATGATATCGAATATTAAATTGATAAAATATTGAATGTTTATTATTGTTAATGGTGTTTTGTATTCATTTTAAAATTTTTTAATATTAGTAGTTAAATCGGGGATAGTATATATATATATATAATACTAGTCAGTGGCGCACACAACGGGGGCGGGTCCGGATCCCCATAGCCTTTGATCTTTTTTCGATTGACTATAATTTTATATATGTAAGTATATAGTACTTAAAATTTAATTAAGTATTTGTTTTCAATAACTATTTTTATTAATTAATGCTAATTATTCATTCAATGATGAATTTTTTTCTGTTTTTTGTTCTTGACAATCGATAAAATCAAAAGAATACTGTTGGCGGCGTATTAAGGTATGATACGAGAATAGTGAAATTTTCACCCTGCCCCCCTCCCCCCTTGAAAAATTCTTTTGTGCGCCACTGAAGGATTTTTTGATCTGATGCTTTCTTTAAAATCATATACAAATGGGAGTAAATAATATTTTATGAGTAAGCCACATTTGAAATCTATTAAGAAAACATAGACGACTGACATGGACGTTCAATGAGGAAGAGGAACTCTCTGGTCTCAAGACCTGTTGGTTATCCGGTGTTGAATATGAAACAACGGTGCGATGCAACTATTGCAGTTAGGGAAAGTCATATTTTTTACTAAGAAATTTTGGTTTGTTCTTTTTCTTCTTGGTCATACATTGTTTTTTCCGCTGTGGCATTCGGTCAATAAAGCTTTTCACCTCCTTCGTTCCATACTCCATGCGTACTGTTCCTTTTTTTTTTTTTTTTTTTTTTTGGTACTGTGTTTTCTTTGTCCTTTAAGTACTACACTACCACTGTAGTATAAATTTAATAACTCATGGTTGATTTTTTTTTTCGGAATTACGACAAAATTAGAACAGCTGTTTATAATTTCCCACTTATGTGTCTCATCCAACTTATTCTTTTAGGATTACACTCAAATATTTAAGACGAAAATAACAAGAAAAATGCTATATAATTTAATGAGCTTAAAGTATTTGAGAAAAAATGCATAATTTTTGAAAATATTAGTTAAAAAAGGCTGGGTTTTCAAAATTTATGAATATTTTTGATAATATATACATTTCAGTAACACACAAAGGAATTTTTCAAGGGGAAGTCCAGGGTCTAAAGTCCACTATAATCGTATCATACCTTAATACGCCACCAAGCTTTTACTTTTGATTTTATCGAGTGTCGGAAACAAAACACAGTAAAAAATAAATTATTGAATAAATAATTAGCATTAATTAGTAAAATTAATTATTAATAACAAACAGTTAAATTTTACGTACTATATAGATAAGATTATAATCAATAAAAAAATCACAACAATTATGAAAGGGGTGGTCCGGAGATTTTGACCTCCCCTCTTGTATGCACTACTGATACATTTTGTTTAATGCGTGAAAAATAAATGCTGATATGTTAATCATAGTATTTATTGACATATTATTATGAATGACATATTATCCCAAATGAGCATTTACCAGTAAGAAAACAATTTGGGAAAAAAATGCTTTAATGTTGAGTTATTTTTTTTCTCTAAGACCACACAGTAAATTGGTTTGTTTAAGCAATAACATGGAAAAAATTTTCATATATATATCAATTTTTAAAAAATATTTTTATAAGAATTAGTTTTAATGAATAATGACTTATTTTTTACCATCCTTATACATCATTTTAATTATTTAATAATTTAAATATTTTTAAAGTTTTATGAAAATTAAGTTCTCCATTAAAGAAAAATAATTAAATTATAGTTAGGAATTTAAGTTTTATATATGAGCAAAAAATAAATTCAAGAATTTCAAAATCCCACACACAAATTTGATCTTCAGCCAGTAGCGTAAGGGAGTATATTAGGGCCCCTCTTCAAAGACAGGTTTTGGGGGTCCCAAGCAGGATCTTATAAAGGGTACGTTCTTGACGACAATCAGGATTTGGACCCCTTAGAGTCCTCGGATCCCTGCGATGCGGGAGTTTTGGAGGTGTATGTTACGCCACTGTCTTCAGCCCCGTTATATTTCTCCAGTTAAATTATTTAATTGATTAAAAATACTTTAAATAGAAATTCATTTGTATATTATCAAATGTAATCGGATAATATACAAAAATTGCCTCTCTCTTTCGAGACTCCACGAGCCTTATCACAGTCTGCTGTCTTTATTTGCCACCTAATACTGTTATCCGCCAGCAGGACTTGAACAACCTGATTGATCAGTTGCCAGCACCTTTTGTCATACTAGGTGACTTCAATGGACATAACACTCTTTGGGGTAGCGTTAAGACCAATCCTCGTGGCAGACAGATTGAACAGGTACTTTCTGATCACTGTTTCTGCCTGCTCAATCACGAGGAAACAACGTACTTCCATGAACCCACACGATCATTTCACACGTTAGATTTGGCCATTTGCTCACCCTCACTCTTACCTGTATTAAATTGCTCTATTGAAAAGGACTTATATAATAGTGATCACTTCCTGTTACGTCGCTTTCTCACG